CTGCCTCTTGCTCCCAGCTCCTCACACCCTCACCACAAACTGAAGTGAGCTCCTTTTTAAAACCCAGGTGCCCTGATTAGCCTGCCTTAATTGATTCTAGAAGCTTCTTCTTAATTGGCTCCAGGTGTCCTAATTAGCCTGCCTGCCTTAACTGGTTCTAGCAGGTTCCTGATTACTCTAATGCAGCCCCCGCTCTGGTCACTCAGGGAACAGAAAACTACTCATCCAGTGACCAGTATATTTGCCCTCTACCAGACTCCTGTACCCCACTGGTCTGGGTCTGTCACAATATATATACACACACATTTTATATACATATATAAAAACATATTTTACACACACACACACCTATCAATATCAACAACCCCCAACACCTATCAGTATCAACATCTCTCAATATATGGATATTGAAATTCACCATCCCAACACTGTACCCAAATCTTAACAGCATTACCTCTGAAATTAAGCAAAATAAGGAATAAAACTAATTAAAATCTCATGCTTAAAGAATATACAGTATACAGATTTTTTTAAAGGAATTCTTGTTCAAAATCCTCAGCTCAATTCCTTTCTCTGGCACTGATACACTGTTACTTTTGGGCAGGTCACATCAACGCAGTGCATCAGTTTACTCATCTGCAAAAAGGGTGTAACAGCTATGTTGACATACTTAACATTTGGAAAGTGACTTAAGAGCATCGGATGAAAGGCGCTATTTAAGTGCAAAGTATTATTATTTCCTGAACTTTTGTTTTTGGAACTTAATCATGCATTATATTAGTCCCAGGGAATTCTCAACATGAATAGAATGTAATGTCACAAGCCATAAAATTAATGGAAATCTTTACAACAATATTTTTATAAAAATGCATGTATGCGTTACATGTACATGCAAACACATTTTAAAATAGCTTAGCCAATAAAAACACCTGCTTTATATATATATTCTCATACCAAACACGAAAGTCAATATCTACAAGTTCATCACCGGTAATGGAATATCAAATACTGTTTTTTAAATAGGCATCTGAAAAACAGTGAAAGAGATGAGGCTTCAGAATTTCCACTGAATATATGTGTTACCAAGGGAGCTGCAGAGAACAAATCATACCGTGCAGGGTCACTTTCTGAAAGGCACCAGCATTATAGTACATTAAAGTCTTCCCCGAGGAAAATGTTTAAGAGGGGTGGGGGATGGTGGGGAAGAAGACAGTTAGAATGTGTGTCATTTTTGTGCTCAGACACAACCCTCTGAAACACATCAACCAACTGGGAGTTTTTCTAAAGTTTATTAAGCAGCATCTTCAATTACTCCAGCAAAAAGATTATGCAGACATGGACCAAATTCCATTAAGTGATTTCCCAAGGTTCCCCAAATTATTCCAGCAGCATCAATGCATTTAATCTATCGCACAATCAATGATGCAGTCAAAACATACACCAGTTTTCCTTTAGATTACGGAACTATTGTTTCACACAAAGAGAAGAAGTGTCAAAATAGAAGTCTCAATAGTTCCTTTTTTCTGAAGAAAGTAAAAGCAGCTTTAGACTTTTCCGAGATTAAAGATTACCGCCCCCTACACACCCCAATCACCTATTTTGTATTCTACCCTCTGCAGTTAAAGACTTGACTCCTCTTTTTATACATTACACGACTGATAGTATATTTCACATATTAATTATTGTATTTAAAGAAGCTGCCATTTGCTTGACTTTTTTTTAAAATAAGCTTGGGATTTTTAGCTCAGATTCATGTCCCTTCATTTTTTTATTTGGCATTAGGCAGAATTATGCACCTTGATGTTGTCTCCTCTTAATCTCTTTTTCAAAGAGCAGAAAGTCAGTTACCCTAAACCTTATAAATAATAAGTTCCTATCTCCTATATAAGTTATTTGATGGCTTAACTTAATTGCTGGTACATTCAACTTCCCTGCTAGGTATAAAATTTTTATTGAAGTTAATGTTTAAAAATTAAATATATGCAAGTTAAGAGGGAAGGTACTGTACATCTGGGGTCAGGCTCGAGTTATGAGGGATTACAGGGATTATTACAAAGTTCACGAGATACACACATATCACACAACCAGCACAGACCCAGATTGTGGTGCGGGAGTTTTTAAAGCATCAGTGGATAAGTGGGCTTGGGTACGCCACCCATGGAATGTATTAAGAGTCCAAGTCAGTATCAATGTAGCAAATGACATGGGTGGGGTGTGTCCCTTGGTTTGTCAGGGAAGGAAGTGGGTTCTTTCCCTGGTCAGCGGTCTCGGTTACTCGAGCTGGTACTGGCAGTGTCCCGTGATGTGTTCCATGTAGATGTCTCTGGACCACCTGATGGTGTTGGATACCATGAACTGTCTCATGAGCCGGGTGTAGCGTCGACAGATCCCACACGCACTCAGCACCGGCTCGTTGTGGGGGTCCCACTCACCCAGGGCTCCCACGATCAGGGCATGTATTGGACCTCGTAGCCCTGGGCTCTCAGGGTGTCAGCCAGCGGGGTGTATTTCGAAACCTTCCATCCTTGGGACTCATGGAAGGCCGGTGACCTGTTTTCAAATGGCACCATGACGTCTACCAGGAGGACCTTCTTTTCTGTGTCGGTCACGACAATGTCGGGTCGCAGTCCGCTGTCTGTCCCAGGGATGGCGGAGTCGACAGTGATCTTCGCCAGGGAAGACAGGATGGCTTTCATCAGCCGGTTGTGTATGGCGTTGTGGTGGAGCAGCCAGACTCCGGAGTGCTGTTTGCAACCACACAGAACGTGGGGCAGGGTCTCATTGGCATAGCCGCACTTCCTGCAGCGCTTGTCCCGGTTGCCGTGGCAGATGGCTCTGTTGAGGGGAACGCAGTTGAGTCGGGCCCGGTGGACGAACCACCAGTCGGCGAACCTGGTGACACTGCCCCTGGGGAGGAAGTGGTTGCTGGCATCCCACTTGCTGGACACCTCGAACACCTTGCCCTGGTCCGACTTCCAGTTGAGGTTCTTAGCGTAGTGGCAGCGGATGGTGTCTTTGAGGGTCCTTTTCCGCATCATTCTGGCAGTTGGGGTGATGATGGTGTGGTCCGAGGTCTTTATGCGTGGCACCAGCTACTGGCGCTCCTCGCACCACTTCCAGCGGCAGCTGATCCTCTTTTCTAGGTGTCTTGAGGTGTTGCGGGCGCGGGACCAGAGATAGGACAAGTCTCCTCCCTCTCTCCCAAACTCAGCCTCCAGGGAGCCGCTGAGTTAGGTGGAGACGTCCTGCTCGGAGGGGGCCCTGGTGACGCATTTCTTGACCACGTCCTGTACGGCTTCATCTGCGATACTCCACACCGTCGGGTCTGGGCACATCAGGAGGAGGAAGGTGTGGGTGATCACCAACACGTTGCACAGGTCGCCCATCCTAGGTACATTGGCACCGCCTTGTCTATGGGAAATGTAGATGATGTTGGTCCTCGCCCTTTGGGGAAGGTAGAGCCATTTCCTCACCAGCTGCCTGATGGTGCTGTCAGCCTTGATCGGGGCACCTTGGCTACGGCCGATCCCCTGAGGATGGAGGAGATGTGGGAACTGCAATGAGAATGGAAAAGTTCCTTACCTTTTAGGAGGGGTCAGTGTGTTCCTGTTATCCTTGAGAAATGTTTTTGTACCATCCTTGATATCGGGATGTTCTGGTACCACTCTTCAAGAATGTGTTTGTGTGAGTACTCCGTGCCTAGCACTTCTTAGAAATGTGTGTTTCTGCAACATCAGCCCAGTTCTTGCCAGATTCTGTGAACTTGCAAGCAGGCAGAGCCTGAGGTTTGCTCACAGCCTGACTTTTGAAAACTGCTTTATATCAGCAAAGCTTGCCCACTACTTTAGCTCAGACCTCATAGCAAGGCCTCTTATACCAGGGCTTCTCAGGCTCTCTTCCTACTATAGATACAAAACTACTCAAGATAGTTAAGTCCCAAGCAGACTACAAAGAGCTACAAAAGGATCGCACGAAACCGGGTGACTGGGCAACAAAATGGCAGATGAAATTCAATGTTGATAAATGGAAAGTAATGCACACTGGAAAACAAACCCAACTATGCATATAAAATGATGGGGTCTAAATTAGCTGTTACCACTCAACAAAGAGATCTTGGAGTCATTGTGGATAGTTCTCAGAAAACATCCATTCAATTGGCAGCGGCAGTCAAAAAAGCTAACCGAATATTGGGAATCATTAAGAAAGGGACAGATAATAAAACAGAAAATACCATATTGCCTCTATATAAATCCAGGGTACGCCCACATCTTGAATACTGTGTGCAGATGTGGTCACCCCATCTCAAAAAAGATATACTGGAATTGGAAAAGGTTCAGAAAAGGGCAACAAAAATGATTGGGGTATGAAACGGCTGCCATATGAGGAGAGATGAATAAGATTGGGACTTTTCAGCTTGGAAAAGAGACGAGTAAGGGGGGATATGATAGAGGTCTATAAAATCATGACTGGTATGGAGCAAGTAAATAAGGAAGTGTTATTTACTCCTTCTCATAACACATGAACTAGGGGTCA